AATGCGTTGCAGCCAAATCTACCTGATAGAACCTGGCAATCTGGGAATTTAGTCCTGAGCAATGCTTACTGTTTGTTGTGAATCCAGGGTGTAAGTTATCCTGCAATGCATGGTGTCTGGAGACACTGGGCGCCACCAATGGAGCGATCAAAGCTTGCAACAACGACATTCACTGGTGGATATCTCGGTGTGATGATTGGCCTACCGCTTTCAGCTTATCTCGTTTCATACATCGACTGGTCTGCACCCTTTTACTTTTTCGGTAACTCCTTTGTTTATAACCAGTCCGATATAGTATAAAACATATAGAGCAATGCCGTCATCAGCTTGCTTGTAAACAACCCTAGAGTGAGAGATTCATTGTTAATCTCGCCAGTGGATGGCTGATGTTGGCATTTGCTACTCTTCGAACACTTCTGAGGGTCTTCGCCTTTTACAAAATCTGAGTGAGAAGGATGGTTTTGACTTTCGACTTTAATAAAGTGTGCCCGAGGACAAAGTGAAAAGTTGTAAGCAGATAACCGAGTAGAAGTAAATAAGTAAAAAGAAAAGATATTTAAGAATAGTTTTATAAATACAGATAACTGTTAATAGAGTTCAAATTTGAAGGTAAATTTTCAAAATTGAAGAGTCCTTTCCATCGGTAGAAACCATTCCCTCTGCGATTCACTTGTTAGTTTTGATGGCTGCTTCTAAGCAACTCCTCAGTAATTAAGAGCCACCGATAGCTTTGCAAGTGAGTGGTTGTGTTAGCGCACGCTGACATCTCGGCTACTTCCAGATGCATCGCCTGTTATGTGAATGAAGAAGAAATTTTGACTTTTGGTCTCGAGCATGAAATTTTTCGTGAGTTCGTAGAAAACTTTTTTGTTTACTGTGCAGATTTTTGACCTCCAAATTTTGTTTACCTCATCTGTATCGTAGGCACCACTAAGTAATTTTGATTTTTGTTCCCAAAGAACTCTTTTAATCTATCAAACTTTCCCCAGGTATCGCTGGAATTTCGTGGTTTTTGATTTGGTTTATGGTCAGTGCGCCATCTCCTGAAAAAAGCAAATCGATCTCGGATGATGAGAAACGCTTCATTGTCGAACAGCTTGGACAAATTTCTTCATCACCAGCAACGGTCAGTTTTACGATAACGTGAATTTACAATAATAATAATTCACGTTTATGCACAGTAAAGAAAACGGAGGCATAAAACACAGCAGCAATTTCCAAAACAAAATGCTGATGCTCAACATGCATGAAAGAAATCTCGAAATGACCAAAGGCCTGCTAAAAAGCTTCTCTATGGAGGGCTGCTAAGTTGGTAATCCCTTCAAGAGACGAATGGCTACGCCAGGACCGTTAGCGGTAGGCTGACCACGGGCAGTCCAGCACTGGTCAAAGCAACTGGAAAAGCTGCTAATAGCATAGCTAAAGAACTAGACTATGTAGCTGGTCAAAGTGACTAAGCACATATTGTTTATTAATACAGCTGCTTGCGTTTGGCATGATGTAGAGCCATTTTCGATGGTCAGTAAAAGTATTTGCAGCTAACAACAATTCCATGGAAGCAAATTTTGCTCTCGTTACCTGTGTGGGCTATTGTTATTAGCAATTTTTGTCGTTCCTGGACATTTTTCCTGTTGTTGGGCAACCAGTTGACCTACATGAAGGATGTGCTGCATGTTGAAATACACAACGTAACATTTTATTTCAATTTTTTACTAGTACCAATGGCCGATCATGTAAAAATTAACGCCTTTTGCTTCCCCTTGCACCCTCCGTTCCTTTTCCTTTGCTTTTTTCGAAATAAAGATCCGTTCGGTCATACGCAGTTTCTTTTCAATTTCCGTAATTTTCGTCCTTCCTCTGGTTCCTTCCTTTTACCATCTTCCCCGCCTTTCCGGTTTTCACGGAATCAACTCCAGCAGTAATTAAGCTGTCGCTGATTTTTTGGATTTTCAGCATGATTTTGGGAGTTAAATTTTTTTTACAAATCAGAAAGCACTCTCAACGCGTTCCTCTAATTCCACTTGTGGAGACGTGCCTACTCATCATCTGTGCCTTTATGAGACCATCCCAACAGCATTTCTAATTTGGAATGCCCACGATGACTGATTTGACGGCGTTGGTAATATTGGTTCTTTCCCGAAGATTCCAGGAAATCGAGATTTTCTAAAAAAGAGGAATTGGAGTTTTCTTTTTCATTATCAGAAATGGGTTTTATTTCTCGCCTTGCAGGGTGGTTTGATTTCATCTTTACCGCATGCTTTGATGTCGGTGGTGGTGTTGGCATCTGGACAGTTAGCTGACTATCTTCGCTCTACTGGTAAAATGTCAACTCAGATGGTCCGTAAAGTCTTTAATACACTTGGTTTGTCCCTTGATTCTAATTTCCAACATTCTTGATGAAGTATTCTAATTTTCACTATTTTTATGGGCTTTCAGAAATTAAGCAAAATGGAAAGAAAAGTTTAAGCATCGGCTAGTGGCAAGTTAATAGGACAGGAACATTCGTTGCCTTTTACAGCAAAATGGCGCTAAAATCGTGAGAGGATTGACATCTTTGTTGGAGAATGACCGTTAAAACCATCTCCGAATCGTACTGTATCTCATCGTAATCGGAGAGTGAGAAGGTTCGAGACTAGTTTACGATATGTAACACACATCACTGACATCTTGAAGCCGAAAAATGCCTCCACCAAGGGAACCTTTGAGCTTATAATTTCTTCTGGAGATGAAACGAATTCAAGTTCGCCGCAAACTGACCATCAGGTCGAAAGATTCGTCCAAACAGCTGAAAAATGTATTAGCAGTATAGAGGAGGTGAACCACCCTATTAATTGCCGCTAGTCGAAGTATTTAGCCAATAGGATACGGAATTCAGTTGAGGGTCAGCAAGTAAGAGTTGAAGATCACTGTATTAAATTTTTTGAGAAAAACGACTGATGAAATATGACGCAGTAAAAAAGAGTTACCTGAAGCATATCAGATCTAGAACTAGTCTGAAAAAACTGCACTTTATTGATTTAGGAGTGCAGAATTTGGAGAAAGGGAACCAATTTTTCAGGCCTTTCTCATTCGTTTTCTGAGCTCTTGTATCATTG